TGTGACATATTGTTGTCTGCTAACCTGGACGTACTTCAGAAACGCATAGTTCTCTTCCCTCTCCTCTTTTTCTACACTCTAGTTATATTGTTATTGTTTAGTACTTTTTTATTCCAAAATGCTTGGGAGCAATGCATAGCACCAACTGCGTGGACTCCTCTCTGCCAATCTCTGCAGGAAACGCTCCAGATTACAAACTGACACTCAGGCACCTCCGTGTACTTGGAACATCTAAAGGAGCAATATGCATATGCTATACTTATATACTTATCACACACACACACAAGCCTGAATCTGAGGAGTTCAATATGTTTTACAGAAAACACAAAACAATCTTCAGCAAAGAACTTGGACAATCAAACGTTGTATTAGTTTGGTGAAAAGTAATTGCATTTTTTTTGCCATTAAAAGTAATAACCAAAACTGCGATTTCTTTTGCACCAACCTGATACAACTTAAATGCTATTGATTTAGTCACATTTCCTGAAGCATGACTCGTAAATGAAGATATTTAAAAAGGCAATATTGTTCATGGAGTGGGAATCTGGCCTGAGAACAAAAGAGATTATTTCTAAGATGTTTCGATTCCTGGAGGGATTTAGACAAATCATTTGACTTATTGGAGACTGAGTCTCCACATTTTAAATCAAGACACTGGGGGCTACAGGCATTCTGAGATGATGTCCAGCTCAAAAATCCATCTTCTAAATTCAAATACTTTACATTGAATGATTTCATCACAATCTATATTAATGTAACTGTCCAGAAATTGGGGTAATCTCACTATTTTGTCTTTTTAAAAAATAAATGTTTTGACTTTCAGCAGATTTTGATCTACAGAAGAAATCACAGACTCTGTAGAGAACTCAGAGAGTGCTGCTAAATCTCACTCTTGAGTTCTCCTAGTAAAGATCTTATTTACTATAGCATAGCCTTTTACAATTGAAAAACAGTATTAATACATTCTTATTAACTAAAATCAATGTTTTATTTAGATAGCTCTAGTTTTTACTTAATGTCTTTTTTTTTTTTTTGGTCCAGGTTTGCAGCCACAAACCACATTCCACTTAGTCACCATGTTTCCTTAGGCACTTCTGGGCTGTGATAGCTTCTTGGGTTTTCCTTGTTTTTGATTACTTTATAGGTTTGAAGAGTATTGGCCAGGTATTTTGTAGCATGTCCTTTACTTGCGATTTGTCTGATGTTTATCTCATGATTAGATTGGGCTGTGAGTTTGAAAAAGGAAGACCACAGGGATAAAGTGTCATTTTTATCACCTTATATCAAGTGCATATACCATCAAAATGACTTATGATGGTTGATGTCACTCTTCATCACCTGGCTGAGGCAGCGTTTGTCAAGTTTCCCCTTTTTCCGGCTGTACTCCTTGAAAGGAAGCCTAGGTATGCTCAGCTCACACCTCGGGGATGGGGCGTTGCACTGCACCTCCTTGGAGGTAGAGCATATACGTTGCTTGGATTTTTTTCTCTTTTTTTTTTGCATAAGAGAATTGTTTCTCATTCCTATTTATTTATTCAATAATATATTTACATCAGTATGGACTCATGGATATTTGCTCTATACTTTAACTTATAATCAAATCTGTCTTTGTTATTTTATTCCTCAAATTGTCCCAGCTTTGGCCATTGGGAGCTTGTTGCTTGGCTGTGTTAACTTGTCACATCTACATAACTGTGTGTGTGTGTTTCTGATTTTTGTGTTGTTTTGTCCTAGTTCATTTGTGCTGCTATGACAGAATATCACAGACTGGGTAACTTATAAATAGTAGACATTATTTCCTTGTAGTTCTGATGGCTGCTAAGTTCAAGATCAAGGTGCTGACAGGTTTGACTCTCTCGTGAAGGATTTTTCCAGGAGAGTGGAATGTTTTGTCCTCACATGGCAGAACAGCTGAAGAGCAAGCTAGCTGAATGGGGAGTGAAGCATATTTTACCAGTGCCTTAATCTCATTAAGAATGGTGTGGCCCTCATGGCCTAATCACCTCTTAGAGGTCCCACCTTTTAATAGTGTCACACTGACAACACCTAAATTTTGGAGGGGGCATGCTTAAATTATCATACTTACTTTCTGACATCATAAGATGGTCCAGGCTCATCTTACATATTTTCTGCTCTAGTCCTGGAAACATCCATTGATCCAAAGAATTCTGGGTTTGTTTGTTTATTTGTTGTTGTTGTTGTTGTTGTTGTTGTTTGCATTGGAGAAAATATTAAAAACCAAGATATGGCTACTAGGTGTGTTTGTTGCAACTAAGATGTCATTGATTCCATTCCAGGCTTTCCATATATATGAATAAAAATACTTCTATATGTTACTGCATGTGCTTTAGTCTGTTCTTTACGGTCATGCCAGACTAGGTAATGTATTAAAAAACAGATTTATTTTTTATAGTTCTGGAGACTGGGAGGTCCAAAAGCATGGCACCAGCATCTGGCGAGGGGCTTCTTGCTGTGTCATAACACGGCACAGGGAATCCCATGGCAAGAGGGCAAGAGTGTGCATGTCACCTCATGTCTCTCTTCCACTTTTTTATAAACACACCGGTCCTATCATAGGGTCCCCACCCTGATGACATTATCTATTTCTGATTAACTTCTAAATGTCTCACCTCCAATCAACATATACATTTGGGAATTAAGTTTTTAACACAAGAAGTTTTGGGGACACATTCAAAGACTGTATCTTTCTTAAGCTAAAATGAGTTCATACTGGTGTGTACAACTTTAATTCATTACTATATCAATTATTCTGGCCTCCTCTCTCTTGGTTATCTGTAAATTTTCGTCCCACCATCTATTTACTTTATCATTAAATTCTGATGTACAGTTGTAGCAGTATCAGAATTGCTGACATGTAACTCCATGGGAAACAACTTTATCATCCAGGGTATAGTGCTTATGCACAGTTTCCTTTGTCTTAGTCTTATGTACCCACAGTGCTCATTTCACAAGTTACTGGAGCCAGGACCTTTACCCCTCAACCTCCTCAGTGAACTTGTTTCATGCATTTGTAATACAGTTCATTCGTTTTGTTACATTCTGCATTCCATTGTGGGAGCCCCTGACCTCATAAATGATTTATCAGATTTGCATACATTAAGGTTCACTGTTCGTGCTATAAAGTTCCATGCATTTTGACAAGAGCATAATATCATGAATCTATCATTCAATATCATGCAAAATAGTTTTACGATCTAAAAAGTCTCCTGTGTTTCACCTATTTAACCATTTCTACTCTTTGAAAAACCCCTGGAAGGCACTGATCTTTTTTCTTTACCATGCTCTAGTTCTGCCTTTTCCAGAATGTCACATAATTGGAATTATACAGCATAAAGCCCCTTCAGATTAGCTTTTTTCCCTTAACAACACACATTTAAGGCTCACTCATGTTTTTCCTTTTGCTTGATGGCTCAACTTTTTCATTGCTAGATAATATTCAGCATATAGATTTGCCATAGTTTGTTTACCCATTCACCTATTGAAGGAAACTTTGGTTGCTTTCAGTATTTTGTGATTATAAATAAAGCTGCTATAAATATTCAGGTACAGGCTTTTTGTTGGCACAAAGTTTCAAATCAATTTGGATAAATACCTAGAAATGTGATTGCTGCATCATATGTTAAGACTATGTTTAGTTTGTTAAAAATTTCCAAACTATCTACTAAAGCAGCCGTAGCTTTTACCATTTCAATCAGCAATGAGTGAGAGTTCCTGTTTGTTTGCATATTCTCCAACGACTGGCATCATCAGTATTTTGAATTTTAGATATTCAAACAGGTGTGTAGTGATATGACTAAAAACCTACTGGATGACATTATTATTTTAATTTTTAATTTCATAATGTCAAATGATGTTGAACATCTTTTTAAATGTTTATTTGCTATCTGTATATCTCCCTTAGTGTTATGTTGGTTCATATATTTTGCACATATTTAAAAGATTTTTTAATTTTATTATTCTTGTTTTAAGTGTTCATGTTTTTTAGACATAATCCTTTATCAGATATGTGTTTTGGAAACATTTTGTCTCAGCCTGTGTCTTATCTTTTGATTCTCTTCACAGTGTCTTTCATAGAGAAGAAATTAAAATTATGTTTAATTTTAAAATACACCCACTTAATATTTTCCCTTTTATGAATTACTCTTTTGGATTTGTACCTTAAAAAAAATCACCAATTCAATGTAACATAGGTTTTTCTCCTATGTTTTTCTCTAGATATTTTGCAGTTTTGTTTTGTACATTTAGGTGGATAATTATGATAATGACAATTTTATATAGACATTTAGTTGTTTCTGTACTATTTATTTAAAAAACAACCCTTTCTTTATTAAATTGCCATTGTTATTTGCCAAAGATTTGTAACTGTATTCATGTCATTCTATTTCTGCATTCCATTATTTTCTATCAATCTATGTTTTTGTTTGTTTTCCAACACCATGCTGTCTTGATGACTGTGGTGTTATGTCTTGACATCAGGTTGTATCGTTCCTTCAACTTTGTTCTTCTTGAATGTTGTTAGGTATTTTGGGTCTTTTGTTTTATCACATAAGCTTTAGACTCAATTCGTAAATATCTACAAAATAGTGTGCTGGAATTTTAATTGCAATTATATTGAATCTAAAAATCAGGATGGCAAAAATGGACCTTTAAACAATATTGAGTTTTTCAATCCATAAACACAGAATATATCTCCTTTATTCATATGTTTGATTTTTTTTTTAGTTTTTTACATATATAATCTGTACTTAATTTCACATTCCCATTGCTAATTTTTTACATGTTGAAAACTGATAAACTCTATATTAACCTAGTGTCCTACACCCTTGCTATAATCACGTATTAATTCCAGAGGTTTATATTTCAATTATTTGAGATTTCTGCATGACAGTCATGTTAGCTGTGAATATACACAATTTTATTTATGTATTACCAATCTATATATCTTTTATTTCCTTTTCTTGCCTTATTGCACTCTCTAGGACTTCCAGTTCAATGTTGAGCGGGAATGATGAGAGGAGGCAGCCTGGACATTTTTGACTTTTACCTGATCTTGGGGGTAAAGTACCCAACTTGTCACCATTAAGTATGTTAGTTATAGGCTTTTTGTAGATATTCTTTAAGAATTTAAGCTTGCTTTATACCTATTTTTCTGAAAAAAAAATTTAATGTAGGTGGGTGTAGCATTATATCAAATGCTTTTCCTGAATTTTTGCATTAATTTATACAATTGCATATTTTTTGTTTAGTCTGTTAATATGCTAGATTACATGAATTGATTTTTGAATGTTAAACTAGCTTTGGATACCTAGTATACATGCCATGTGAGCAAGGTATACATTATTTCTTACATGTTTTTAGGTTTGATTTGCCAATATATTTTGAGGCCATTTTGCATATAAGCTTATGGAATATATTGGCCTGTAGCTGACCTTTCTTGTAATGTTTTTGTTTGGTTTTGGTATTAAGGTAATGCTCACTTTATAGAGGGAGTTAAGAAGTATTTCCTCTGCTTCTGTTGCTAAGGGAGTACATGAAAAAGAATCATCTATAATGTTCAATAAATCTAGAAAGAGCAAATAAGAAGAAATATTACATTTTTAAATTTATCTTTTCTTTACATTTTAGTTTGGGAAGTTTCTATTGACTTATCTTCAAGCTCTTCGGTACTAGATTTTTTTCCCCTGAGATGAGTCCAGTTTACTGAGGACCCTATCGGTGCTGTTCTTCCTTTTAGTTACAATGTTTTTATTTCTAGTATTGTTTTATTGTTTCTTAGAATTGCCATTTATCTGCTTATATTACCCATCTCTTCTTGCAAGTTGTTCACTTTTTAAATTAGAGTCCTTAGTACATGAGTTATTTTAAATTCCCTCTGTGATAATTTGAAAATCTCGGTCAACTTTTGTAGCTTGTTTTGTCTTTTTTAACTGTTTTTTCTTGCATTTTACCAGGCCTTGTGTTTTGTTGTGATTGTTGTTCAAAGGCAGATGTGATATGTCAGGTAGTAATAGAAACTGAGGTAGACACCCTTTTATTTATGTACTTATTTTAATTTTTTTTAAGAGATGAAGATCTCTCTATGTTGCCCAGGCTGGTGTTGAACTCCTGGTCTCAAACAATTCTCTTGCCTCAGCCTCTCTAGTAGTTGGAATTACAGGCAGGAACCAAAATGTTAGGCTAAATAGGTTTTTAGTGTGAGGTTTTATGTTAACCTGGCTAGGAGTAAGGCTATATTTAATGTTTGTTGTATCTGTAGGTGCCAGAGGTTCCAAATTCCTTTAGTGCCCTTGTTTTCATCTCTTTTGTTGAACCTGAGCTTCCCCTAAGAACTCCTCCTTAAACAGTCTGTGACTTTTAGTTCTTTGAACTATAATCCACTGTTATCACACTGGAGCCCTGTTGGTGCCATGGTAAGGTTCCAGGAAGGGGAAATGTTCTATAATCATAGAATCTCTAATCTTACAAGTAAATCTCAAGCTTTGAGTGCACCTGAGTCCCTGGACTGTGACCTTCACAAGTGTTTCTTCGGTTTCATGTCCCCCCATGGATAGGCAACACAGTGAGCCCAAAGAGATCTGGAGTGAAGGAACGCCCTTTCCTGAGTGGACTTAAGGCTCTGGAATAGTTTTTGCTTGGGTAATTGGCCTTTGTTATGGAGAATACTCTGTACTTCGCAAATGGTGCTCTTCCCCCTAGAGAGGGGCAGGCTCTTCCTAGAACCTTTCTCAAGAAACCTGTGCAGTGCCTGTAGGTAAAACCTATGCAAAGTGATGGATCTCCTAAAACTGCAACTCCCCCTCCTCTCATATATCAGCCTCCTGCTTTGACACACTTAGCCTCCAGCAATTCATTAAAATAATCGGTAAGATTTTTTACTAGTTTATGGCTCCAGCAGCTTCTGCTCCAGGTAAATTAATCTCAGCTGTGATTCTCTGTATTTGCTTTTCTTTGTAGAGTTCAGAATGGTGATTTGCAACCTCAGTTCTCTGAAGAATACCAAAAAAGTTGATTTTCCGTTTGTTCAGCATTTTTCTTTATTATTGTAAGGAGGAGAGTACTGACTTCCAGTCTCTTTACATGTGAGAACTGTGATGGGAATGTCTTATTCTTTTCTAAGTGCTTTATCATTTCCCTGGGTTTTTCAGCAAGAAGTTTTTATTAAAAATTTATTTAAACATAATTGTGTCAATAAAACACTAATAACTTGAAAACCATTTTTCATGTCAAGTGGCATTAGTTTAATGTACATTTACAAATAATTGTAAATGGTGGCTTTGCTAAATACCAAGCTCCCTTTTAAGAAGGTACATTTTACAACAGTCATCTTGCCTGAAAACGTAAAGGATTTAGTGATAAGACAGGGAGATAAAACTACAAAATGGGTTGTTTCCATCTCTCTACTAAATGCATGTTTCTAAGACTTGAGGATAAACTGTGTGCCAGGAGCTGACTAAATGTTTTTTTTGTGTGTGTTGTTGTTGCTGTTGTTGTCGTTTTGAGACGGAGTTTCTCGCTCTGTCGCCCAGGCTGCAGTGCAGTGGTGCAACCTCGGCTCATTGCAACCTCTGCCTCCCGGGTTCAAGCTATTCTCCTGCTTCAGCCTCCCGAGTAGCTGGGACGACAGACTTGCTCCCTAGCTGGTTTCAACCCACCACCTGATGTTGCCCTTTCCTTTTTGCAGCTTCAACATTGCAGCTAAGCAACATTCCTTCCCGATAAGAGAACAAGACCATGAAGTGTATCTGTTCAGTTTACGGAGGCTGTGCATTAAGTGTCTTCATGCCCTCTGCTTCACCTTTTGATGTACAAGAGCCTAACTGAAATGTAAGGAAATGTTACATCTCCACCCCAGAGTGAAATAGATGTATGTAACATGCATGTTAGCTTACTGTGCATGTGTGCAGCACATTTGTGGCTATTCATAGTTCCTCCTATAACCTGTTGAATATGTATACTTAGCCAACTCATACAGCACAAATTCCTGTCTTATCCTTTCCTCCCTCAAAACACCTGCTTCTCATTTTCAGCCACGAGCTATGCTTCTTGCCTGCAGGTTGCTCTACCCAACTTTAGAATTAAAGCTCTCTTTTCTAAATTTACAGATTTTGTGACTTTTTCTGGTGACAGTAACAAGAACTAGAAAGAGATGTATCATTTAGGGTTTCATATGCCAGGCAACGAAGTTTGGGAGGGATTGACACAGCTTTGTTTAATTGTATCAAATTTGATTTTTAGAAACCTGTACTCTTCTAAATACAGATTCAAATCTGAGGCTTAAGAAAAAAATAAAGCAAAATATTCACACAACACTATACATTTTGAGAAGGAGCTTATATATAAGCACAGGACTATACAATCAGATATTGATGGACTGAGTAGTGATCAGTTCTTACTCATATGTTTTATTCTTTGTATTAAATTGTATTGAATGCAAGTGTATTTAATAGAATCTTCCTTATTTAAGAGGCATCAAGGATACCTCATCATAATTCAGTAGACTGATGCATTGAGAATTTTAATATTATTCTATTTGTTAATATTCCAACATGAATCAAAAGGTCTATTACTCTCAGATTAAGATATTTGGGTAATTAATGTTCAGATATGTGTTTATAAAGTATTGAGCTTTTGAAGAGGAACGTGGGTAATTATCACTATTAATTTTGCTCTAAATTATATTTCGGCTTGTGCAATTGTTATAAGCACAGATTCTGGCAAATATAAACTCTTTAAGCAAAACATATTTAGAGTATCACATTTTCTTTGGCTAATAAAATTATAGTCAGTCACGAACATTATTGATATGTTGATTTAAAAAGATATAGTAAAATATCTGGTTAATAGTTTTTTAAATGAGGAAATAAATGATTACAGAAAACAATAAAATGCAGAAATACTTTAAGATGACTATCTAATTACTCCAGAATTTCACTGCTCATATTTCTAATTTCTGCTATAAACACCCACACAGGAATGTTGGTAAAGTCTTAGTAAAAAGAAAAATAAAACTAATATCTATTACTAATGTCATATATTAAGCCCTAATATTGTTGTCTACTCTTTCACTGAGCAATGTACTCATCTTTTAACCCCTTAGCATCTATAACTTCAGCCACAAATTTCTTATTTTAAAATGGCTTTATAGTCTTAAGGCTGAGGTTATATTTGAAATGAACAAAAGTATAGAGATTGAAATTCAGCAGTGCAATTTTATAACTTTACAAATAAAGATATTATTTGAGATATTGAGAATTTTAACATTCTCTGAGGCTTAAGAAAAAATAAAGCAAAATATTCACACTTACACTATAAATTTTCAGAAGGAGCTTATATATAAACACAGGACTATACATTCAGATGTTGATGGACTGAGTAATGATCAAGTTTACTGATATTTCTTATTCTTTGTTTTAAATTGTTGACTGCAGGTATATTTATAGAATCTTCCTTATTTAAGAGACATCAAGGTTAAGCTAAGCTTTATGGATAAGGGCACAGCCTAAGACTACAGGAATATTGTCTGAGACCAAGGCGTTTTCCACCTCTTAACAGATATGTAATCTTTACTGCACTTCACTGAACATTTGCTTTCCATTTGTAAAACTGATAATAAAAAACTAACTTCTGGAGCTGCCGTAAATATTACCCTGAGAAAAATAATTAAAACAGTAATGAAAACATCTCAACACAGCGCATGTCTCTCTTTGCAAGTTCAATATGAGTTATTCTCGTTACTACTATTGAGTTAGTGACACGGAGACCCGCGGGTGATTGGTGCTTCTGTTGCAGTGGTTTTCAAATGGGGTTGATTTTATACCTCAGAGGACATCTGGCAATGCCTGGAGACATTTTTGACTGTCACAACTGGGAGAATAGGGTGCTACTGGCATCTAGTGGGTAGAGGCCAGGGGTGCTGATAAGTGTCCTGCAATGCACAGGACAACAAATAATTCTCAGGTCTATATTGGCAATAATGATGAGGCTGAGAAATCCTGCACTCTGGCACTAAGCTTCATTATCTTAAGAATAAATCTCATCTCTAAATAATCTTTAAATTCTTACTAGTGATCACAATGAATAGGCTTCTTAAGGAAACACATTTTATTCTTTTCTGTAATCATTTATTTTCTCCTCTAAACAACACTCTTTATTAGACCAGGCATCATGATGCATGCTGGAGGTTCAAAGATCAAATACATGAAGTTTGCCCTTAGTAAGATCACAGTACATTAATTTATAGAGGGAAACACATAATTGCCCCGCACTGAGATGCATAAATCATGATGACAGAGATGTTGCTTATGATGGTGGCAGGAGTGGGGGTACTTAAAGATGTTGCTGGAGAGATGGGATGGAGTGTGTCATGCATGATCTGTTCCCACTAAAACGTCTGTGCACTTCACCTTCTAAACCAGGGGACAGGACTGAAAGGTTTGAAGCAGGAGGTACCATGACTCAATGTGTGCTTTATAAAGCTTTTTTAGTGTTAGTATATACAGGAGATGAAAAATGTGAAAGAAGAGATACACAAACCAAACAGGATACAGCTTAAAAGTGCAAACTAGAGATTGTGAAATTCCAAGTTTGGCTAGTGACAGGTTCAAGGGGAGAAACTTATGAATAGGGTTTTGCACGAATAGTTGATGAATGAGTAGCTGAGGGAGAGAAGAGAGGAGTCCTGTGAGAAACCTAGATTGCTGTGTCAGAGACTGGACTGATGCAGACTGGACTGGTACAGACTGGACTGATATAGACTCGACTGAAAGAGAAAGGTGGGGAGAAAGGAGAATGGGTTTAGTTTGAACATTCTGAGCTGTGGGGCTGATGTTTACAGAATTTGGGAGAGGGATTGTTTGGAGCAAAAAGAATAAAGGTTGCCAAAATACATATTTAGTTATTGGGACTGAGGGCTCGGTGCGGTGGCTCACACCTGTAATCCCAGCAATTTGGAAGGCTGAAGCGGGCGGATCACCTGAGGTCAGGAGTTCGAGACCATCCTGGCCAACATGGTGAAATCTCTACTAAAAATACAAAAAAAAAAAAGTATCCAGGCATCCCAGCTACTTGGAAGGCTGAGGCAGGAGAATAACTTGAACCTGGGAGGCAAAGGTTGCAGTGAGCCAAGACTGCGCCACTGCACTCCAGCCTGGGAAACAAAAAGGAAACTCCATCTCAAATATATATATATTATATATAGTATATTATATATAGTACATTATATATGTTATATATTATATATAGTGTGTGATATATATTATATATTGTGTATTATATATTATATATTTTATATATGCAAATATATATATTATGGGGACTAGGCAGCCAATGCAATAAAAACTTGAGTCTCAGTGGATTTTTGTCAACTCACTTTGGGGTCTGATGGTGGTAGAAATGTGGATGTCCGTAGGTTTTATATGGATACAGAGCCACATGTGAGAAAGCCTGGATTAGATATGGATTGGGTGCATATCAGCACCCAGGAGAAAGTGGCAGCAAGGGAGGAGGCTGGCAGAATGCTTTTTTATTTGTTTTTTAATTATCTGAGCCCATTCCAAATGTCACAGGTAAATATGAACACATAACTCATTAATTGTTAGCAATAAATGAGTTTGTAAGGATGTATTATTAGTAACATTAGCATCTTTATTATAATGTTGTGCCCTGAATTCACAATTGACAGGTATACTTTCCATCTTTTTCATGTAATTATATCAAGTATGGTATTGCATACAATTATTGTCCATTACATATTTATTGATAAAAACTAAATAATTTTACAAAGGAGAATTTCTCAAGTCACATTTGACAGAGTTGCTCGTTTAAATTACATATACACATATATGTACAATCTCTACACATAAAAGACATATACATGCATTTATATGTATATGTATTATTTACACACCCATAATACTTACAGTACATAAACACAGGCACACAGACCTGTTTCTTTGAGATAATTTTAAATTCAAAAGAATGCATAATTGGTCAAATATTGTCAAATGAAGCCATGCTTATTTTAAAGTGAAAGATATAAAGAAATAATTGTGCAGACTGTTTGTCCTTAGACGTATGCAATTATACAAATTAGGAGAGAAAAAATTTAGTAAACCTTTAGTCCCAATCAGTCCATTGAGAAATGTTAATTTAAGGAAAGAAATAGAAGATAATTTGCACGTTTCCTTTTAGGTTCCTTGAGGAGAGGCTGGGTCTGGCTGGAGACTGCACTGCAGAGGGTAACCCCTGTCTCCTGGACCACCTAGCGATGCTCTAAAATCTCAAGGAGACCCTGCTGGCATTTACTTTATGCAAGACTAGCTTCAGAAAGCCCACGCGGCATGATGCATCTAGAGAGTGTTCGAAACAGGAAGAGTCTTCTCAATGTGCCTGAAGACTGAGAACAACTGCGCACATTTATGTGTCCAGAACACTTATAAATACACGTTAGCATATGATAAAATAGTAACTCATGGCCATTTATCATTTGACCAAAAGCTTTTCAGTGGAAAAATCTTTAAAACTTTTTTGGCGGGGGCTGATTCTTGGGGCAACGTTGTGCCTTCTGAAGTCCTTCAGTGTTGTTAATCTCCCCATTTCCGGTGCGAGAACTGAGGGTCAAAGATGAGGCTTCCCTGATGGAAAGCGTTGCAGCCGGCCAGCCGGCCTGGATCCCCAGCTCTGCAGCTGAGACTGTATCAGCCTAACCTCACTTCAGAAGACTGCATTCGCTCACGTTCTGAAATTCACTTCATTGCAAGAGCCACGTACTCTTTTTCCAAAAGAGGCTAATATACCAGGGCCTGGGCCATGCTGAAGCTGTGTCCTCTCTCCTTCCTCCTTCACGGGCTTGTTCTATGTGACTGGCTGAGGCAGGCCCCGCAGAGTCCTCTGGCCATCCCTCTACACTCTGCTACCTGCTGTTTGGGTAGCTATGCGCCTACTTAACAAGTGATCGTTTTGTTTTCACGGGTGTGACATCTGCTCGGTACACTGATAATGCCATTGCTTCTCAGCCTGGAGCGTCTCTCGCTCCCGCGGGCTGTTCATATTCACATTGCCAGACCTGCGAGAGTAGCCTCGTGTCTCCTGAGTCATCAAAGGACTCAGGCCCTGCTCACTGCCTGTGATGAGAAAACTCCAGAAAGTGGACAGCAAAACAGCGCAAGCCAAAAGACAAATACCTATTTTCCAATAATCATTTGGAAAATGTCATAGTTTGGGATGTGAAGCCCAGAGAACTAGATTCTGGGCTGACTCTGCTATTTGGTGCCCATGATTCACAGGAGAAGTCCTGTCATTCCCCTGAGCTTCGGTTTTCTTACCTGTAGAAAGGAGACAGTAGCATTTGTCTTGCTTCCCTCAAAGGCTCATGAAGAGGGATGGCTGGGATCCTGGAGAGTTAGAAGCGGCTTTGTGTACATAAAGCTGGATAAGCTAAACCAACCTGAGCCCTGTCACCGCTGTCAGGAAAGGAAGGTGTGCTCTGGAGCTGGACCCCATGGCTTCCTCTCTGCTCAGACACCTGGGCAAGCAAGTCACGGAGCTTCACTGTGCCTCAGTTTCTCTGTGGGGAACTCCCTGTGGGAGAGCACTTTTACTTATCTGACATTCCTGCTGCAGACTTTATCAAGGTTAGAAATGGAAAGCCTTTAGATCCAGGGCTGGCATGGAGTGAGCTTTCAGGATTAATTAGCGTGACTTTGATTCGGAGCAGGCTGCAACTGAAAATGAGAATTGTTTTTTTGTTTTTTTTTTTCCTTGGAGTCAATTTGAATTTTACTTGGAGAAATCACAACACTGAACACAAATGTCTTTCACTGCCTCTTCTCCCCAGGCCTCTGCGTCCCTGTCCTGAAGTTCAAGCTTGCCTTGTTTCAGTGCCCCTTGAAATACGAAGTAAGTTCTGTGCTAAGACACTTGGTTCTCAGGTGAAGGTCTAAGAAGAAAGGAGGATTTTTACTACCCAGAAACTCACATTCTTTGGAGGAAATTGGAGAAAGAAACTTAGGATGCCCCAGGAACATTTCCACATTTTTAAGGTCAAATAACAGAAGTTAAAAAGGGAGTAGGTAGACAACATTGTTTTTTGACCTTTCCTTACATTGCATATGGGTCTAACATACGCCTCTTTACAAAACTGGAGTAGTTAGGCCTGGCGCGGTGGCTCACGCCTGTAATTCCAGCACTTTGGGAGGCTGAGGCAGGCGAATCACAAGGTTAGGAGTTTGAGATCAGCCTGACCAATATGGTGAAACCCTGTCTCTACTAAAAACACAAAAATTAGCTGGGCGTGGTGGTGGGAGCCTGTAGTCCCAGCTACTTGGGAGGCTGAGGCAGAAGAATTGAACTCCGTCTAAAAAAAAAAAAAAAAAAGGTGGAGTAGTTACTTGCAGCACAGATTTAACGACCCTCAATCTTTATCACTTACATCTTTTATTGTGCAACAGGCTATAACCTTGCTCTACCTACCCAAGTTAGCTGTTTATTAAACAAACAAACAAAAACTCAGATTTGGGGGTTTAGGACAAAACAGGTAGGCCTCAAATCCATTTACAGATTAAAAGATGGTATTGATTTAAGGCTCCAGATTTTCACTCTCACACTCAGAGCCTGATAACAGTCTTCTAAAGTTGTACCCTACTTATCCTTTCTTTGCTAAGGTTAATAATTAACAAGTCAACCAAAAGGGGCACCTGCACCGGAAAGGTAATTTGACAGTGACAAGACAGGAAGAGCTGGCCCCCGTACAGGCTGTCTTACACCTGCGACTCCTGGTCGGGCGCAGTGGAGGCTCACGCCTGGAATTCCAGCACTTTGGGAGGCTGAGGCGGGCAGGTCACTTGAGGTCAGGAGTTCCAGATCAGCCTGGCCAACATGGTGAAACCCTGTCTCTACTTAAAATACAAAAATTAGCCAGGCATGGTGTCAGGTGCCTGTAATCCCAGCTACTTGGGAGGCTGAGGCAGGAGAACCATGACGAGGGGTGGTTGGGATCCTGGAGAGTTAGAAGGGAGACAGACGTTGCAGTGAATGGAGACAGACTCTGTCCAAAATTAAAAAATAAATAAATAAATAAAAAGAAAGACCTGCAACTCCAGCTGCGAAACTCCCTCATGATTCCCTTTGGTTCCCTATGATTTGCTTATATGATCTTAGCCTGGTGTGCATGTGGAACTGGTGACTGTGAGTGTCTGTGCAAGTGCATCTTCCTGCGAGGAAAATGAATGCTCTACATTTCCTGTGGATACAAAGATCTGCTCGAGCAAGTTAACACAATTAATTATGCAATGTGAAAATTTATATCCCACAATTCTTATTTATTAGCACATATGGTTTTCCATAATTTTGGAAATACTTTGGAGGAAAATGTTAGTTAGAAATTTGCATTGTAAGCTATAGAATAAGTATGTATTAAACATCCACTATATATTTGTGTATACACATTTTTTTTTTTTTTTTTGAGTCACAGTCTTGCTCTGTTGCCCAGGCTGGAGTGCAGTGGCACAATCTCGGCTCACTGCAAGCTCCGCCTCCCGGATTCACGCCATTCTCCTGCCTCAACCTCCCGAGTAACTGGGACTACAGGCACCCGCCACCACACCCGGCTAATTCATTTTGTATTTTTAGTAGAGACGGGTTTTCACCATGTTAGCCAGGATGGTTTCGATCTCCTGACCTCGTGATCCACCTGCCTTGGCCTCCCAAAGTGCTGGGATTACAGGCATGAGCCACCTATGCCCGGCCTCTCTATACACATTTTTATTTATGTCCAGACATATATACATATTCCAATTTTACCTGCTTTTAGTTTTTTGTAATTTACAATTGTTTATGCATTGGAGAAAAGTCATATATATTTGAGAATATTTTAAATTCATCATGATTATTACATTAATATAAATACATTTGAATGGTATATTATGCTTTTCCTGATATATATATGCATATTATACAATTTATATTGTATATACATGAACAAGTTCTATAAGAACACAATTATGTGCATTCACACATCATTTGTTCAAAAGCTCAGGAGAATGCTATATATCAGATAAATGAATTTTTCAGATCATTGAACCTTACTATTTCAAGCACAAGCATTTAATTTTTAATATCTGCAAGGAAATTTTCTGTAGGCCACTCCCTGGAGTTCTTGGGAAGATACTACTGAGCATAATAATAACAATGAAGAAAAAAAACAGAAAATATTACCATAGAGTGAGTATCTATTATAGCCCTCACTTTGCACATACTTACGTCAGGAAATCCTTGAGATTTGGTGAACTGGGTCCTCCCATTTAGATATAACTGTCAAACAAAGTGGGACTTGGAGAATTTTGGTAACAAGATTCAGTTATAAAACTAAGAAGTAGAATTAGGATTTAAATGTTTTTTCTTTCTTGTTTTTTTTTTTCTTATTTCCATTTTTTTTTCTTTCTCTACATTTTTCCCTTGAGTACCTTACCATACTGGCATTTGGTGCCAAGGTTTTCATTTCTTCCTGATCCTTACATATATTCTTCCCATTTTCCATTTTTCCGTCCTTTTCTCTGTCCAATCTTATTTTCTTCCCTTGAGTACCTTACCATACTGGCATTCATGGTTTTGCCCACAGGCTCTGACACCCATAGACAGTTTCTGCTTTCTAGTTTTTCTGGGGCTTCCTTTGATGTTGAAATCTCCATGTTGTCTTCTACTGCATATGACTTTCTGTTCTAGTTCTGCCAGTTCTCCTCAATTTTGTTTCTTGTAATGTGCTCTGTGCTGGTTAATCAGAAAAGTGGGTTTGATAAAAACTATTGGTTAAAGTTTATTTGGTAATTAGAGGTAATTATTCCCCTTGTTTCTTATAAGAATATATATTTGTGTCAGTTAGGCACTGGACAGAATGACTTTAATGCAACCAGGGTTTTGCTGTGTGTACATATTCACTTGCTAGTCACATTTTACTGTAAAGAAATATTTAAAAGGAAATGCAAATCAACAATGATGCAAAAATCTCAAAAGAACTCACATTTAGAAATATTTAATAAATACTGTAGGTCAGTTTGAGTTCTTCCAAAATATGTTCTGTTAACAGCTGCTTTGCGTATTGTTTCAGACCTTTAAGAAAGAAAGCATGTTAATAAAGAGCAGTAGGCCACCTCCTTCCCCATCTTATTCTAAGGGATTTGTGCATACTTCTACAGATCGTATAAAAGTTTTATGTCCATGTTTCTGTAACTGGTTTGGCTTTTTCTAAATTGTAGGAGAAGAAAATCCAATCTCTAGTTTCTTTGTAGCATATAATTGGAACAAGATAGTCAAAGAAAAGAGAAAGCTTAGAGAAAGAAAAGTCATTTCTGAAAGTTTGAGGATTTAGTATATTATGAAAGAAAACTAGCTCAGGTTCAAAGGGTTATTAGAAAATCTAAGAGGCCCTGCCAGCAGAACTTTTCTGGTGCTATATAGACTTCAATGGG